TTCACTTCATCCTTTCTCAGAATCTTTCAGAGTAATATGAAAAGGAACGTAAATATTTGAATTACGAAGCACAAAAGAATCCTGTACAATAATAAAAACCGAAATTCACTATAATCTTTGCTCAATTGTCCTTGAATTAAAGTACAGCTGAATACCCTAAAAATAGGCCAAGAGATTAAAATTTTTAAAAAAAAATGAGCTACTAAATGTAACAAAAATTTTTAATTTCAAATGTGACTACTTTCGGCTGTTTTAACGCTCATCTTCCTTCATCAGGGCTTGCTTTCCCCATGCAAATCAAGTCTTAGAAGTGAATTTTAGTTTTAGTGAGCTAACGATAACCAATAGGCAGATTAAAACAAAATTCATTTATTTTCCAAAATCTCCCGCCCCTTCCCCTATTCACTTCCGCCTTATCAAATGGTGAGACAAATTTTTAAGACATCGCAATATACTATTGACAGCAACCTATTCTTGACTGAAGCGAAAATAAAATTATTAAACGGCATTTGGGAAAATAATTTTATAAATTCATTTTATTTACGAATTAGATATGCTGAGAATACCCAGTTGCATAGCAACTTCTTGTTTAAACTTCACCTAAATGCAATATTTTTTTCCTTATACTTTCGAATGAATTTCAGTGATTCAAAACTAATTGACGTTAGACACAACTTTACGAACCCAGTAGAGAAAAGTTAAACGGATAAACTTCTCAGTTAAATTGCAATATCCTAGTCATTCTGAAATCTAACGTTTAATCTTTTCAAAGACGGATAATTAGGTAATTGTTCGCTGATTATAAAAATGTAACCACATTTTTACCATGTCAGAAAGGTAAAAAACAACAGAGTTTATCTGAAATTCAATCTTTATGTAAGCTTTCAACTTAGAACTCCATTAATGGAAAAGTTTCGTACAAACACTCCAAAGAAAGGTTATAATTCTACGCTCTTTCACACAACCCAATCAGTCATGTTATTAATTAATAGAAAATGGCTTTAAAACGAGTTTATTGAACAGGAAACACAGTTTAATTTGCGCCTCAACAATCAACGAAATTTTAAGAAAAAGCTCTGATTTTATCACCAATAGTGCTACTCTACTCGTAAAGAAATAAATACAAAACTCTCATGTAAAGTACTACTTAACAGTACTAGCAATTACCAAAAGATTTAGCTCACCAAATTAATCATGCTCAACAATATAAGTACTTCGATTTTATGATAAATTGACAATTTTAAGGGCATCTGAGGGCATAGTAACCTAGAACTGGCAAAATTAATTATTCAAACACTGTGTCGTTTAGCAAGAAAAAGTGATTAACCAGTCCCTCCACCTCCCCTCTAGCATAACAAAATACTTCAACATTTTAAGCTCTATTTTCTCAATGGAAGCAAAAATTTTAAACCTCTTCTAGATGCAAAAATAAATACTAATTAATAAGTAATAAATTTTGAAGAGTAAGAACTTTGAGATTAGTAATGCAGTTCTCCATTTTAGGAAAAACATCACTTTTGGCCAAATTAATACTCGTATCTATAACTTGTGCCAAGCAAGAGAAAACACTATTTCATTAAATCCGATTTTATGAGCCTATTGCATTTAAGATTAATTGTTAATAGTTCAAAAACTTATAATTTTTATCAGGAATAGTTTACGAAAAAATATATCTTGTATGTAGCAAACGAGAAAGACTAAATTTAATTTATCAGAAATTCGTTCATCAGCGACGGAAATTATTGGCATATTATTTAAACACATATGAAACTCTTAGCTAATGGAAAACTTAAATTTATGAAAGCAAAGGAGAAAATTAAAGGGCTTTGGATTGTTTCAGACTCAATAACATTCCAGGCGCAATAACATTCCTCCAACATCACTATAAATAGACTCGGTTTTAAGGGAGATTTTCCTCCTAAGCTTTCGGATGATGACGCACGGGATTAAATGTTTGACAAATGCTGCTGAATTATTTTCCGAAAAGGGGAATTCAGAGGTTCTATTAAATCGAACAGAAAGGGCTGAGAGAGGACACACCAGACTAAAAATAGGTTCATAAATATATATTAAAACTTAAAGCAATTATGTCCAGAACTGAAAGGGTAAAACAAATAAGATCATATTAGACGTATTTAGTCATTTAGATCTAAGAATTCGAAGTTTATAAATAGCTAACGAGTAGGAAGTAAAGTGGAACAGTATCAAGTAGGCTTTACAATGAAGGCACCTTATTTTATAAAAAAAAATTTGAACTAAGAAAACATGTACCATTTACTTTCAGTGAAAAATAAGTATTAAATTTATATCTATTTAATTAAGTTAAAAATAACTTTGACTATTTTATTCAAGACATTTTCATTCAAATGAATATCACCGGAAGGGAGAGGACAATAAGTGGAATGCATAATAAATCTAAAAGCTTTATGACTGTTACCTCAAACATACTATTTATCGGATATGTTTTCTAATTTCAAGAATTTTCAGTCTTAATTATTATATGAATTATGGATTTTTAAAGAAAACATTGGGTTGCATCAGTTCAATCTGGCAAGATTTATTTAACTAAACTGATGATATCTATAATAATTGTACAAAAACAAATAATGTGTGTGCATATATACCTAATATATGAATTAAGTAAACACGTGTCATGCTAGCTGGAATTTATATAGTTTGATTGATGATTTTAAATATCAAAATGCACTTAAATTATTACCATAAAACCAGTTATCCAATGAGCCATTGAGCCCATTAAGAAATGAAAATAATTTTTCAGTATTTACATTTCATGCGATAAACAATCATTCGTAACAAATGTAAAATAAACGGTGGCAAGTTCATACAGAAAAAGGAATAACGGCTATATATATATATATATATAGATGGCTTTTTACACTTTTAATTCATAGTCGTTAATAAATAGATAAGTATACAAATATAAGCCTTTAAAGCGCTTGCTAATAGCGGTTAACAAAATAAAATAGCAGTTTGTAGTCGTTAAAATAGAAGTGGCAATGATATATATTTTACATTAATACCTATTTGACGTTTAATCTCAATTGGATGCCCATTTCAATCAAAAATGAAGAAATTCATATAATACAAAAGAAGGAACAAAAACATAAATTTGTGTAAAGAAGCACATAAATTTGGCTTTAACAATATACAAAAAAACAGATGCTTATGGCATTTCAAACTCGATATAAAAGAACTAATCTTAAAATATTCATATCAAAATGCCAGTAAATATAAGAAATGTTATAGTTTTACAATAAATGAAACGTAAACCTAGATTTACCTTGAAGTTATAGTCAGGCTGTACCTCTTTTTCAATGTCCATAATATTTCTTGCTGAGATCAAATTCTGAGGTCAAACTTTTCAAAATGAAATCAGCTTAGCCCAAGGGCATTGCCTGCAATTTGATCATTAAAAATATGTTCAGTCACATTAAAATACATTCCTTAAAAATCGTTAGTTCATTTAATGTTATATTTTAAGTTTAAATTGTTTATTTTATTCGATTTTTTCTAAATAAACGAATTCTATTGACTCTTTATGTACAAAAATAAACAAATCAAAAACATTAATTAATAATGCGATTTCAAAGACAGTTATAAATTTTGAAAGACAATGTGTAATGCAACGTGGTCCAAATTTTTGACAAGTTTATTTGAATTTTAAAATAATAAGTCATGAAAGATGGCTTTTTCTTTTATATTTTGAGCCTCTCCTATACCATTACAGAATTCATATTTTACTTTTTAGGAATCTTCCCCTTAAATAGCTCTGTGTTAATTTGGTACAAATATTGCTTATAATAAACCTCTTAAAGCCTCAGAATTCGTGCTTTAGCGATTCACTACACTAGTAAAGCCTTGACTTTACACAGAAACTTCTATAGCAAATCGCCATTTCGGTAGATCTCCCAAAATCAACTATGTCACAACAATCTGTAGGAGAAGCGTACGTATTACATGGGCCACGTCTATTCATAAAGGAAGTAGTTAGTAAAGTGCACACGCTGGAAACATAATCATAATCAATATGGTGGATAAGTTTACACAAACGCAGGCTTCTGATTGACCATTGGTTGTACGCACATGCGATCATGTGTAGGTGATGACGTGTCCTACAGTGGAATAATTATTTTGTGATACTAAATGATAATTCGATTGGTATTTCCATTGTAACTAGCACATTTGTAAATTTTATGGTCTAATTTCTATAATGCATCAAGGAAAGGCCACAACTAACGTGATAAAGCTCTCTTAATGAGTATATACACAGTGTGAGTTAACTTAAACAGGGTAACGCTCCACTTCTACCGACTTATTCAAATTTGGTAAATATCATTAAATGAGGTAATTATGAGCCACCAATCCAACGATTTCACTTTTGCACATAAAGTACGTACTCAACTAATGATCTTGAATGATCTTTTAATGACGCATTGTTTAGGTACGTAGAGAGAGCGTCACTTAAGCCTTTACCATAAATCCCTTCTACTTAGGTCACCCTCTCGACTACTATATACCAACTGCAAGAGTATATTAGCTAAGCTGGTCTTTGTTTTGTATTATCGAGACTGCATCCATGATTTATGCCCAAAATCAAAACCGCATTAACTAACTCTGCATCTGATTGGGTTTATAACCCCTGAGTAGGTATATATGCATCTTTCCTTTACATTTCCACATATGGAATCCCACTTAAGTAAGCTCAATTTAATTCAGTCCCAGTCGATGGTTTAATTATTACGGAAAATTGGACAAGCAATAGAAATGGTTATTCGAACGACAAATTCATCTATTGGCAATGAGAAGAAGAAAAAATAACTAAGTCACTCTATTAGGGCATTTTATTAAGACATAATTCGATGGCACAGCAAGTAAAAAGGCACCCTACCAATGCAGTAACCGTGAAAAGAGCAAAAGAACAAGAAATAAAGTTCAGTTTAAAAATTTGTACAGAGAGGCGTAATTCGATAGACATGTACCTACGGCCCCAGTTCAGAGAGATGGCGAACTTGGGCATTCAAGTTTGTGTGTTGATCACAGAGTTCCTGTAACTCACCGGCCAACTCGTTGTTCAATCGCAGCAACATATAATTAGTTGACTTCGCCGCACGAACCAAACTGACCAATAGACGCCGACGACGATGAGCTGGAAGTGAGAGGATTTCATCTATACTTCGATGAGTGACTTTGCTTAGAACTTCTACTGGATCGATGACTTTTACACTGAAATCGAATAAAAGGCAATGGCAAATCAAATGGAATGATTCGACTCAATATGATAAATCCACACTGAAAGGAAACAAATTTCAGCGCCCATAAAATAAAACACCCGGGCTATGCTGAGCGGTTCCCACCAACCAATCAATAAAGTTGAGCTTTCGCTTACTATTAGAACATGCTTATGAAAAACGTTATATCAAGAATACGAGTGGATGTAAATCATCGGATAGTATAACACCATTGTGTGGCCTAGACTATACTAGGTAAACCGACATCGAAGATAATAAGACTCATATGGTTTCTTATTCCAGGGCCCATATCGTGAGGTCCCTTCTAAAAGTGGATTTAAAATTACTCTGCATTAAATATTTACAGACCCATCCGATTAGGCAACTTTTAAAGGCCCTAGGCTTTGAATGCCAGAATTATTCACGTTCAACCTTTAGAGCCTTTTCAAAATCACACAATTGAAGGTTACATGTATATATGATGTACCAATTGACATAAAGTGTAAAAAACGTAAACGCACCTTGGTGAAGTCGAGTAGACACTTTCCATTCTCGTTGACGCAACTCTCCCAGGAGAAGACGAAAGAGAGCTCGATTGGGACGCCGACGAGTCCTCACTATTCGAAGCACTCCCCTCTTCCGACGACGAAAATGACTCTTCTTCTTCTTCTTCTGGAGAATTAGAAGTTTGAGACGAAGAGCTGCTGGTAAGACTGGAGCTTGAACTAGATGAGTCACTACTGCTCTTCCTTCTACTTCTTCCACTACCACCCACTTTCTCCCTCTTCTTTATTCGTCGTCTGCTATTTACATCAGTACCGTGGGAATGCCGGGAATGAATAGCTGAAATTGAGGAGTTGGAGGTAGGCAGAAGAGCTCGAACACCAATTTCGTCGTCGCTGACTACCTTGTGGTCATCATCATCATCATCAAGATACTCTTCCTCTTCAAATTCTTCATCCACTTCTTCATCGACAACTTGATCAAGAGAAGTGGGGTGTTCCTTGTAGGTTGGGGAGGGAGAACGGCTGTTGCTGGAAGAACTCCAAGGAGTGGGTTGACCATCAACGCAATCTACTAAGTCACAATAGATAATGTGAAAAAATAAACTAGATACCAGAAGGTTATTGTTGACTTATAACCAGTATTAGAGGAGGGAGAGACTTTCTTAATTTTTCAAGAAATGATCCGAGAGATAAGGTCTTCTGAATGACGTGGAAGTTTGAAAGTCAAGCTCATCAATGATTGTTTTTACCCTTAATGAAATAAATCATTGTCAGGAGGTGAGTAGTAGCTCGCATTATGACAAGATTGATGGCGGTCTTGAACCTTAGATCTAAGAATGACTTATCCAGTCCAATGACAATCCAGTCATGCTCAGATGGAGAAAATGAGGGGAGCATTAAACGTAGTCCGTATAAATAAATAAAGAAAAATAAATAAATAAACAATAAAGAGAAACTAAGACGTACAATTCTTCTGTAGTTTCTCAGCTATTCACTTTTGTCTAATATGGCTCTTTCATGTTGCAGAATGGATGGATCTATTTCTGCTACTGGTATGTTCCACACTAAATATCGTTCGACTACAGATCACTCGGAATAGGAGTGAATAAGACGAGAAAAGTGTGGGTATGTATACCAAAGTCGCTTCATTAACATTTTTTAACAAAGCGACTAATAGGTAGATATAATTTATGAACTTTCGATGAAGAGTGGGGGTTTGTTTATGCTAACTCTCCAGGTACTCGAGCCAGCAAGTGCCAACATAATTATATGACGGAGACTACCCCGAGCGTGTTGCTCATTTTTCAAAATGTACGGACCCTATAGCTCCACGTCGACGAGTTAAAATCGATTTCTATTCATCCATTCCACTAGCGCACACACTAACACAGTTGTAATTCTTTAGGTCAATAAAGTCAAGGAAGCATCAGAAGTCATTGCTTAGTAAAAAGATCTTGTGAAGAAATGTTGTAAAAACTCCAGGCCAAATAAATAGAAATTGCATGTTTCTGATGGTCAGTCACTGTTAATAAATGAATCAGCTGTTATGTCCCCAAACAGCAAAAATAAACACCTTAAAGGAGTGACGGATACCAAACTGCATTTGATAAATCAGTCACACGCAAATTAGAAAAAAGTTCGTGAAACAATTTTGCTAATACCAATTGCATCAAGAATGAAGAATAGAACCGTAAAAGATTGGATACTCATCACTACAACATACAAAATTACAAAGGTAGTGATAATATACTTTTGGTGGCAAAGACATTATGTGTCAACGAAAGAAAGTTACCATCTGCGAATTTTGTTTGACATATGAATCAATATTATTTACCAGCCGATTACTACTGGTAAAAGTTCAAGCAAACTGAAAGAGCGAATAAAAGTCTAAATGTTAACAATTTGTCCAACCCCACAGAGTTAAGTACTACAAGCAATATCAGCCAAAACTGTACCCTCAAACAGAGAGAGAATTCTAGACTGTCGGGGTAAAGAAGGCTCCTATCGTATACCTTTCCTCCAAAATGAACCATGGCTAAAGATTAGCAATGTCAATTAAGTTGAAGCGTGCAAAAGAGTTGTTCCGGGACAGCTTTACCACCTAAAATCTCGCATTCTACGTCAATCTTCTTAGCTGAAATTAATCAGTTTAGTGGCCTAACCACATCATCGGTTTTGGTGGATGTGCATATTCACCAAAAAAAGTCCGAAATTCCAAGTAGGGGAAAGAATTTTGATGGAGAGAGGACAATAGCGCAGTGTCGGCAAATAGTTAACTTTCAATGTTTACTGTAGACAAATATGTTATGTGACAAATAGGACTTCCTATATTTCCTAAAATGGTATATTTGTAATGCGAGGGTGTGCGATAGACTTACCTCCACGTGGTGCACCCTGGACAACGTATACTCATACGGCAAAAAAGTCTATTAACCGGCATTCGGCTTCCGACTTCAAACTACCATCACCCCACTCTATGTTATATTCGACCCCTTCCACAGTACTCATCTTACCTTTTCTCTGCCTTTGTGTCAGTCTGTCACTTTTAAATCTGTGAATCATTATTCTGTCCCCCCACCTCAACGTTTAGTCACTCTGATGTTCCTCCTCCTCTCTGTGAAGCCTGAAGTCAACTAAAGGGCTAATGACAACTATCAAAACGCCAACCATTTAAAATAAATAAATATGTGTAATGCGTGAATATAAATAAGAAAACGAAAATTAAACAGATGGGAAGACATTGTATCAAATCATAGGGGAGAATGTGGAAACCACAATAGGCAGAAAGAAATATGAACATGTAACAAAACATAAGATCATGAAATTGGAAATTAGATTTTCAGTTCAACTTTAATGCTAACAGCATTAGTGAGAAAAAAAACTAATTTCACCAATTAAACTCTGGTGCAAGATTAATGAAATACGCTCATGTGGGAAATATACCCATTCGTTAAAGAAGAGAGCAACGGGCTCTAACAAAGAATTTTTCCTCACTTCGAGTTTCTTGGACTGAGTTCAATGGTAAAAACGGAGGAACAGAGGAAGGTAAAATTTTCGTACCCAAATGCCTCGGATAAGGAGAAAGCAGAAGATCGTGACTATCATCCTCATCATTAACCAAGTAGACACCATCCTGACCATTTAGTGGCGGCTGTCTCCTCCTGTTGCCTCGATGCCTTCCAGGTTGACGACTCTGTCGATTATGATGTTGTCGAGATGAGGATGAACGAGAGGATGAGGGAGAAGTGCTTGCACCAACATTCGTGTCACCACGATGACGTTGTGTGGGTGGAGGTGGATGAGATGGGGAGGCAAGAAGGGAGAAGCCTGTAGTGAAGTACTTGTTGGCTAAGTGAGCGGCCAGACAGTATTCGGACTCGGTTAACATCATATCGCCATCACTGTCCACTTGCTTCCTGCAGATGAAGTCAAATAATGAAAGTTCACGTACTTTTGAAACATTTATTTATATCAAAAGGCAGGCGCCATGATGGTTACCATTAGCCCTTTAGTTGGCACCAGGCTTCACAGAGGGAAAGGAACATCGAATTGAAAAAAGTCGAGAGGGGGGGAACAGAAGAGTGTTTCAAAGACGTATGAGACAAACACAAACATAGAAAAAAGGTGAAAAGAGTACTGTGAAAATAGTCAAATATGACATACAGTGAGGTGGTGGTAGTTTGAAGAAATCAACTGCCAGTCAGTAGACTTTTTCGCCGTATGAATATACGTTGCCCAGGGTGC